CCAAATATTCACAGAGCAACTTCTACGCAAATGGACTTTGGAAAAAACCCAGGGGACCCACAACATCCTTTACCTCCTGTGCACCAGATGAAGTTTCTTTTCTACCTGGTATGTATTTGGTAACTGTGTTGGTTTGAGACAAAAAGAAATGCAAATCTCTTGGTCCAGACACGATACCTTTTATTAGACGAGCTAACAAATCGCAAAAAAAAAAAAAAAGTAGTAATGGACAGAGAACCCTGAGGAAGATCCAAGTCACTGGCATAGAGACAGTAGGTATTATAGGTCTATATACCTTCTGTCATAACACAAGAACAAAGGGACATTTTTTATATAATACATAATTAACCAGTCAAACTCACTGTCAGATGTTAGTACTGTACTAAAGAACTTATTAGTATTTAAAAAAGAATAGAGATGTGTGGGAATTAGCCATGGGGCTAGGTAGACATTCAAAAAGCTGGGACAGAATCAATCTAAGTTACACGGTTTAAGTGGCATAGTTTAGATCGGTAGTGAACAGAACACACATTTGCTCTTGGGTGGGAGGGCAAATGACTGGATTCCACCATTTTTAAACCCGTCTGCGCGTGCCAAACTGGTCTGTTATGGGTATAGACCGGTTTCAGATGACGTATACCAGTTTATGTATAATGTCTGTACCTGGCCCCAGTATTGCATAAAACAGCACAAAAATAACAGCACAAAAATATTACAGATATAAGCTGTATTTCAGGACATTAGTTAAACTCTTAGGAGCACAGAATTAGGAAGACTCTTCACCTCTTCAAGTTATTCTTTTATAACATACTATGTTGATTTTTGCACCTTTGTTAAAAATGAGCAATACTGGCCAGTAGGTGCTGTTCAAAGCTTTGGTCCCTTATTCAATTCAGTGGCGATCAGTCCCAATTTAGTCGCCGAATCTCCGAATCCTAATCAAATCAGAGGACCCTTTAACCTCACCAAATCATATCGGAACTGTCCAAATCGATCCGGAGAGATTTGGAAGGATTCAGCGATTCAGACATAGACACAGTTTTAAATGTTTTTTCTACATACCTCTAGGTAGCAGGTGGCTCATGAACACTGTGATGCTGGGGCAGATGGAGCATCCCACAGGAGCACAGGAGGGCCCTTTCCAGTCCACTTCCAGGTCCACCAGGGAGCACGCAGGGGGGCCCCCCCATGCCCTCCCAGCTCAGCAACTGGTGCCTCCTAGGTCTGGGGGGGCACCCAGGGTCCCCTCATGGCTGATCGCCAAGCTGGAGAGGCATAGCGGGGGGTCCCCCAGTGCACTCCCCAGTGGACCAGAAGTACTTCCGGTCCACTTCCAGATTTGCCGCCAAGCACATGGGGGGCCCCCCCACACTCCTGTGGGCTGCTCCATGTGCCCCAGCATTCATGAGCTACACTGGTACCTTGAGGTATGTAGAAAAAACATATAAAGGTGTGTCTGTATCACTGATTCTCCGAGTCATCCGAATCTGAAGATTCAATGCTTCAGCCGAACTGAATCAGGGACAGTGATCCAAATCGATGAATTGAATCACTGTCCCTGATTCAGGCCAAGTCTGAATTGAATAGCGCCCACTTTGCACACCCCTACTGGTCACTATTGGAGTCAACGCACAGAGCTAGCTTGACCACGGAACCAATATACAAACTGGTTGTTTTACATTTCACATTGAGCAACACTGAAGCTGGACTTGAAAGTTTTGTACAGCATTCTACTGGCAGACTTTTGTGCCAAGAACTTACCTCTATGACCCTGATATCATCTGTATTGCATGCAAACACTTTGCATTTCCCACATAAGAGCCTTTTAGTGCTCTTTGGCATCTTTGGTTTTAATTGTCTCCTTCGGGTATCTCGTATGATCTTTTCCTTGTTTTGCAGGTCCTTTACCTAAAAAGCAAGTCATTAAAAACAAAATGGGTTACACACTTAAGAGAAATGCTGGCATCACTCTGACCTGTTCCAGTAGAGTTGATACATCTATGCTTATATATACACCAGCTGTGGATCTGACCCCAAAAACAGAGATATATTGACATTCAACCTCCTTTAGACTATTGCTTCTGAAAACCTCTCAAGTTCTCTAAGCTCTAATTGTTCCCACACCAAAGGCATCTTATTTCAGATGTGCTTAATCCAATTACCTTAAGAACTGCTGTAGAGGTGGAAGACACATTCAACAGGCTTTTTGACCATCAATTCTTGAACAGAAATAATGAGTCCAGCAAATGTCTCAAAAGGTTACCAAGGCTGGTGGCATGTGGAAAACATCTAAAATCATACCTGAACATGCTCAAAGAGTAGTCAAGATTTTAGCAGACTTACAAAGTCTCACTTCTGACACTGCAATGTCCATTGTCTGGTCTAATCCTGTAAGGCCAGGAATGCAAGTGGTGTAAAGCAGTATAGCCCCAAGGATGCTGATGTCAACTGCATGCTATATTTTGCTTCAGCAGTGGCGGAAGTTTGGTGCTGGCCCAAGTACGTTAGTAGCATCCACGTCAATACAGCCATCTGGATTTATGCCTGCTGAGTCTGACCCAAAGGCTGTTGTTGGTGGGGACCCCCACCAGGCCCTATTCCCCATCTGCTCCCACTGCCCCCCTGAGTGTCCCCCAGCCCCAACTTCCAGCTCTTTAAAAAAAAGCCCCCAGTCACCAGCTGCTGCCAGGTGAGGGGGATGATCCCGCTGCCCTCCACTGCCCCATGCTGTGTGTGGGGGGCTCTGCCACAAACCCCCATCCCCCGCCCGCTCTCCCAGCCCTACCCATGGCTGCCCCACCCTCCCCAGTTCCCTATTCTTAAAAAAAAAAAAAAAGCCCCGCATTCACGGACTACTGCAATGGCTGTTGGGGGCTTATGGCAGAGCCCCCCACGCAGCGTTGGGCAGCGAGAATCACACCTCCTCCACCCCCCCCCCGGCAGCAGCCAGCAAGTGTGGGGCTTAAAAAAAAAAAGGCCTGGTTGCTGGGGATGAGGCCTGCTTAATTCAGAGATTCGTCAGCAGCTGAATCTCCGAATCAGATTCAGCTGAATCAATTTGGGACAGTGATTCGAATCACTGAATCAAATCACTGTCTTCAGAATTGGCCTAATCCAAATCTGAAGCGAATACTAGCCGCTTCGCACAGGACTAGTTAATATCACTGAAACTGAAATGGTTTAAAACAAATCATTTGGATAGACCTGGAAAATAATTGCTATGGTTCAGAACACAAGTCTGAACCACCAGGGTGGACACATTAACTAACTAGTCTGAAGCTCATTTGCTCACTCTCTCTCCTCTCAGCTCCATTAGAAGTGTTTTCATGTTAGTCTAGAAATCCAAGCCCTAGGCAGAATTGCCAATTCACCAAGTTAAAGAAAAACATGCAAAATAGCACAGTTATTCCTATGCAGATAAAATCCACTTGACCACCAACCTTCTACAGCCGGTGGCAGCACATACTATACAAAAGGTTATTACACAAGAGAACCTGGGATACAGACCTTGTGTTGACCTGATGCAGACAGATGAATGCTCCCCAGGTGAGTACACTAGCCGGTTGAAGGCCTCGCTGGTAGCAACTGACAATTTATCTTATGTCTCTAATTTTTATTGAAAAGACTACTAGCAAGCACACCCACCTTCTTTAAAAACTGCTCCTCACTCCACTTCTGGATCTCCTTAATGGCTTTGTTCATCTGCTCTTCCTTCCAGACATTGACTGTCTCCTTCTCAGCCACTTCACTTTTGCTCGTCACTAGAATGCATTTGCTACCTTTTGCCCTGCCACGACCTAAGGAGTAACACATTTAGCTTTTTATAGCTTTATGTACAGAAATGACTGAATCCATAGGTGTCAGTCCCTGCCAAGGTCTCTGCCTACATCTGTGTCCCTGTCAATCCCTGCCTACATCTCCCTGCAGGTACAGCAATATTAGAAACACCAAGCTTTTCATGGTCCATTTTATTTTCCTGGTCTGTTCCCAAATTTGAGCACATGCTTGGAGAAGCCCTCCATCTAATATTCACTAGGCCACTCCCTTTCAATGCATAAACACCTCCAAAGAAGCATTCTTACCTTGATGGTTTTAAAAAAACATGATCATGCCTCACTGGGCCTGTGCTCTTTATCAGTTTGTAATATTTTTAACCCCCCAGTGTCTAAGGCCTGGTCTCTAGGTGTGATAAGCTCAGACATGCTTGGTGGTCAGCAGCCATGGTTTACTGTCTTGGAAACGCTTGTAAGACCAGCTGAGGGATATCATTCTTAGTCCTATTCATTAGTTATCTGTCATGTTGCTGGATAACTACCAAAAATGCAGAAGTTTAGGGATTACCACAACAAGGAAACTTGCCTCTTCACTCTACATTTGTACAGAACACAATGGGACCTGAAACTCAGTTGGTCTTAGTGCTGCCATATAATAAAACAGCAACAAAAATAGGATTGAGGTTTCTACTACAACTAAATATTATTCACACTGAGTTACAAAGTTTATGATCTTAAGTGGATTCAGTTTACCTAGCCTCTTTCCTATGCATTTCTAATAGCATTCTTAGAAAAAGAGGTTAACCCAAAATATGTAAATTTGGGGTAATTATTTAGTACAAAATAAAAATGAAATCGAGACAGTGAGAATGTGAGACAAACCCCAAAAGTCAGGAGACTGACAACCAGGCCAACAACCTGTCCCTTTAACACAATTAAAATATAACCATTCCATGGCATTTGTAGTCAGGCTATGAAATTCACTACTTCAGAGCACAGGATTAAATATCACAGATGGATTAAAAATAAAGTAATTTTTGACCTGCTTTCAACTATACTCATTAAAAGTGAATCCATGATTACAGTGTGCGTCTGTCTCCTTCTTGTGGCTGGACTACACAGTAGTTTTCAGCACCACAGTAAGTGCAGACAGGCTCAGAAATCCAAAGGTCTCACTTTTGCTTTCCTCCATTGACATTTCACCAAAATGCACTGTGCTACATAAGCTTAGAGACAAATTATGCCCACCAGTGGGAAAAATGTGCACAGGGGCACAGCAAATATGCAAGACACCCTTATCTGAAATTTCTTCTGATGTCTCCAGGAAGGTATAATTTGCAATATTTCCAATTTTAAGAATTTTTCTTCCATTCATATTTATATCTGTTTTAATACAAAATTGGCCTCTTAGGTCCTTCCTTGAAAACATAGCATCATGGTGCTTTTTGTCCTTCATGTAATAAGTACAATCCACAGGCATGCAGAGAAGAACCTAAGCAATGGCTCACCAGTTCTTTAAGCAAGTGTCAGCAAATTCTGTCCCAGCCCAACCATTCATCCTACACCTGAAATAAACATGAGCACCAGTCCACGGTGCTTTCAATCGCATCTCTTTCTGGACCTACACCATGCACAGATCCACTTCCAGTTTCCCATACCTCTGACTTGGATCATTTTGATGACGTTGCCAGTGTATTCATAGAGAAGAACGAGGTTGCATTCAGCAACGTCAATCCCTTCATCAGCCACGGATGTAGCTATTAGCATCTTGCTTTTTCCACTGCTTCTGAAGGAGTCCAGTGCACCCTTTTGATGTAGAAGGGTCATACCTACAGTACAGTATCCGTGTGAAGCACTGTCAGTGAGATGCTGAAGAACTCTTAGAGCAAGTAAACAGTTGTTACTTTTATTTAGGGGATGCAGTTAGTGCTAAATGCCAGTCTGTTCACAACTGAGACTGCAAAAGAAATGCTTCAGATCAGGAGATACAACTGTCTGCCTTCCTGCACTGCACAAAGGGGATTCTCACTGAAGTGTAACACTGTGCATGTCTCTGACAAGTAATTTTACATTTGGCCTTTTAAACAGGCTTCTTTGTTTCAATGAGACTTAAGTCCTTGGTTATTTTAAATACTAACATGTTCCCAAGTCAAGTTAGACAAAGGCTCTGGCAGGAAAAGTTAAGTGGCTATATACAAGCGATTAAATCATTAGTTCTCGGTTGTCTTAGCCTCCCAGAACCCTTTACACCCCTCAGAAAATGCCAACTCTTAACTTTCACTTCTTTCTTGACTACAGAAAAACAATCCAGCAATTCTTCTCTTGCTAAGAGCTCAGAAAGGCTACAACAGGTCAGAATATTTTTGACACTACAGATTTCTATTCAAAATATCTGAGTTTCTCTTGTGGATTGTGTAGGTTTTTGCAAACCCAACAGGACTAATACTATGCAGCACCCTACAGCATCCACCCCATAGCACCCACAGGGTCCTATGACACCCTGGTTGAGAATCACTTGGTTAAAGACTCCTGTAACTATCAGAACCCAAGCTAACACTGCTGAGGTAATCATAGTGTTAGCTTAAGTGTCTTTGAACACACAAGACTCAATATGGAAAAGCATTAATTTGATCAGATCAATCTGACAACACAGGTGGTGAAACAATTTGTTTTCCTCAGTGCAATTCCCCATACCTATATTCTGATTTCTGTTATGTCCCATCAGTACATCTGGTTTTAGATGACTGAGTGCAGGATTTTCATCTACCCATTTCTTCAGAGCCTGTAAAACAAGTAAGACTTTAGTAATTGTTTCTAAAGTATTAGATATGGCAGTTTTTAAACTATTCTCTGCAAATCCATAGATATTAGGGTTGGGAGGGACCTCAGCGGGAGTCCAACCCCCAGCCTCCTGGTGATTTCCTGAACCCCGCCTCATATTTTTCAAACTGAGAAGTAGGAAGTCCAGGATGACAAGGGAATGTACAGAGTCTTTGAGAGGGCATTGCTGTGATAAAAGAAACTGCATAGGGCAAGAATCAAAACCACAAATGAATCTGCCCACTTACATACTTCACTACTGCTATCCATGCAGTGCTAGGGACAGATTATTCGCAGGAGACAATCCTGTGTGAAGGATTCCTGGGTGCCATTTACAGTTGATGTTCTCTGTAGATAACAATACACTAAAACTGGGGTTTTCAACCTTTTTTTAAGGGGTGTACCCCTTCTGGCAGAGCACAGGCACAGGGTGGCAGTGGCCAGACGTGGAGCGGGGGCTTGCAGATGGTGGCGGCACGGGGTGATGGATGGCAGCAGCCACCGTGTGTGAGCTCCTCCCCCCTGTGTCCAGCCAGCTGGGTGGCACCTGTGTGGCCTGTAGAGGGGAGCTGCTGCCCCCCGCACCGGCCCTGCTCCCAAGAGGTGGCAGCGTGGGGTGGTGGGTTGCAGCTCTCCATACCTGTCCACCTATGCGTACCCTCAGCCCCTTTCCCTATACCCCTGGTTGACAACCCCTGCACTAAAGGCCTAACTCAGGAATGATAAGTATTCTTAGCACCTACTCTGTAATGAGTAGATGCTTTTCAACTGTTAGAGCACTGTGACACCAAACCTCTGAGCCGCAGAGAAAGCAAAACACTACTTTCCATAATATACTTTGATGTGCATGAAACTTAAATCTTCAAAAGACAAAAAAGGGGAAAGGAGCTGAGATGACAGATGTGGCTACAGTATGGGTGTTCAACCCCTGGCCTGTGGGCCACATCCAGTCCCTGGCATTGTGTCACTTGGCCCACGGGGCTCCCCATGTGTCCAAAAATGTGGCAGTGGGGAAATGGTGGCATCGCTCCCATGCTGCCAAATTTCCAAACCCATGGGGAACCTCACAGTCCAAACAGTGTAGCCATGCATCCTAAACTGGGTACTCAGGGCAGCATAAAGCCTGGTCCTGATGTGCAGGGGTGGCATGGGGCCCAAGGGCCTAAGACCACGTGTGGCTTGATCCAGGCATGCAGGGCCAGATCTGCCCCAGGGACGGGCCCCTTGCCACTCACCTGGCCCACAGGGCCAAAAGATTTAGCTTTACTGCATTAGGGCATCTTCAGTGACTCCTTAAGGGTCATGAAGAGAGTGGTCACCAAGAGCATGGCTGGACCAAAGATGGCTTTCTTTTGAAGAGCTGACCCTGCCTCACAGGTAACAGTACATGCCCAAATTGCAAAGCCTCCCAGCACTTCTTTATGGCCGTCATGTACATGAGCCCTTTCTGGGGAGCACCCACTACAAATGGGAGGAAAATGTTGTGCACTAGAGTTATTTCCTTGTTGCCTTTTGATGTACTATTAGAAAAGAAGGCCTTACAACCACTAGAGCTTTCGTCTTAACAAAGAGAAGGGTCCGAGTCTGAGGATTTTGGTGGTATTCTTCATCCAGGATGAAAGAGAGTTCCTGCAGTTTGGGATTCTCATTTGACTCATCAGTGGAAAGCTCAGTCAGTTCCTGCAGTTTCTCTGGAAGAAAACATACACATCCTCACTGTAGGAAACTAAAACAACCTCTTCTACCTGACAGATTTCTGACACAGATCTAGCATCATATGCCAAACTGGCTTCCTGTATCATTTCACTTCCAAACCCCATTTCTCAGCTGTTTTTTTCTAAACAACAAAAGAACCAAAACTATTTTTTTATGTAACAAAACCCTAATCAGGCTAATTCTGTGTCACTCACACTGAACAGCCAGACTTGGAACACCATATCACCTGCTCTGGAGTTTATGTCAGAAAACTGCATCAAAAGGAATCAAGCTACTGTGTTTACCCAAATCTAAGATGACCTTGAATTTAAAAAAACCCTAACAATAATTAGATTCTATACATGGAACATTATAAATGTATTACAATTTTCCATGTATAGAGTCTAATTATTGTTAGGGTTGTCTTAATTTTTTCTGTCTTCTACTGTCACATAGAAAGCAACAGCAGGAGACAGGAAGCCTGATCCCAGCCTCTTACTCCCCACATAACTTGCTCCCAGTGCCTGGCCTGTCTCCTCTATCTACCAGCCCCACTGCCTGCCCCCTGCTGCTGCTTCCTGTATGATTCTGACTCTGGCCCTGGACCAAGGATAGCAGTGGTTGCAACAGCACCAGCTGCAGTTCCAGCTCTAGTCCTGGCCCCATGTTGGGGCCACAGCTAGATCCACGGCAGCTCCCCAGCTGCTGCATGATCTCTCTGTGCTCCTGCTCTGCACCACACTCTGTCCTTGACTCCCCCTCAAGCTGCCCTGTATGCCCCCCCCGCCTCCCCCAGTCCCTGCCCCACGTCACACTCTCTCTCCTGTGCATCCTCTCTCTTGCTGTACACATCTTGCTGCAGCAGTGGTGGCAGTTCTGGCCCCAATATTCAAATCCAAGATGAGGCTTTCCACCCCCACCCCCATTTTGGATGGAGGGAAACCTCATCTTGAATTCAAGTAAATATAGTATAGAAACAAAAATGCTGTTCTGCTGGTTCTCTATTAACTGACACGGCAATCCTGCAGCTGGCTCCAAAGGGACTCTTCCCACATGCCCATGAATTCTCACCAGCCTCACTAGCAGGGGGGCACCAATAGAGATTTTTGGGGCTGGTACGAATAGCCGATATTTTAGGAGACATATTGGCCAATACCAATCCGATTTCCGATACAGCTGCCTCCAGATGGTAAGTCCGGTGTGATGGAAGGAAGTGTGTGCGGAGGGGTGGGGGGGGGGCAGATCAATACCCCCTGTGGTGAGGGAAGGGGCAGGGGCATTGGCAGGAGCAGGCACTACCCAGGCAGGGCAGGTGGGGCCAGAGCCATGGCTCATGGAGGGAGGGGGAGATGTGTGCCCCTGGATCTCCATAGGGCAGAGTGTGCTGCAGCCAGGGCTGCATGGGGCTCTTCTCAGTGGGGACTTCCACAACCTTTTTAGGTAACTTGTTCCAGTGCTTCAGCACCCTCCTAGTGAGAAAGTTTTTCCTAATATCCAACCTAAACCTCCCTTGCTGCAACTTGAGACCATTGCTCCTTGTTCTGTTATCTGCCATCACTCAGAATAGTCCAGCTCCATCCTCTTTGAAACCACCCTTCAGGTAGTTGAAGGCTGCTGCTATCAACACCTCCCTCCCAGTCTTCTCTTCTGCAAACTAAATAAGCCCAGTTCCTTGACTCTCTCCTTGTAAATCATGTGCCCCAGCCCATTAACCATTTTCACTGACCCAAGTTTAGGACACTTGAGTCAAGCCTATGCTGCATCTGACCATAAAAACAGGTCCCGCTTATCAGGCACTCACTCTTGGGCATGGTTACTAACGAGCACCCATAGCAGTTGCATTGCATTTTACAGTGCAAAGACAGAAGGAACAAGTAGCTGCATACTAGATTCCAGAGGCACTGGGAGAGAACACTTATGCATGAGTACTGGAGAAGTATGAAACTGAGCATCAGAGAGTGCAGAACATGTTCTCCTCCTAGATGTATCCTACTCTTGCTCTATGCTTTGCAATGGGCATCCCTTGAGGGGTTAATTTGCACTCCTGGTTCCCACCTAGCTGCCCTCCCCAACATCACTCTGGCTGCAGTAGCAGCCAAAGTCTCCGGACTCCCACTCCTTCTTCCAGCTTCCACTTCACTCCCACCCAAGAAGGCTGCACAGCCTGTGGTGCCAGGGAAGCCTGCAACCCAGGAAGCCCACACAGCACAGCAAAGCAGGGCAGCCTGTGACTGGGGAGCTGAGTGTGATGCCATAAGAGGGTACCCTGCAGTGTGTAGCCGGGGGGGGGGTGCAATAGTTTGGCTAGTGTAAAGTTGCTGCCCCTGGTGACTCTAAGGCCTGCTCTTTTCCCCCAGTTCTTATTCAATGCACTCTTGAAAAATCTATCCCACTCCTGAGCGCAACCCACCCACATCCTGGTGTAACATGTAGAGAATGTACCCACTTCTAGTGAGTTGACTCAGATTAACCAGTTAATAGCTGCTAGCTACTACCCTTTTTGCTGAAAGGTAGCAGGCTTGTGGTTTTAACCCTGAAGGTCCCAAACTGTAGGCCTGATAACTGGCCAATCATTACATTACACTGGAAAGACAGGAGACAGGGACTGTGCCTGACTTGGACACTCCAGAATGATGCCTGTCTCTAACTAGTATTTGCATCTTTCAGGCAGGCTAAGTACCTTCAAAGTTTGCTGTTAACTGCTGCTCTCTCTCATCAAACTCTCTGCTTTTGATATTCTTGAAGAATTCTATCAAGTATCCCAAGGCATCTTGGGTGCGTGCATCTTCATTGATAATGAGGGCATCATTATATTTCTGTTTGTAAAGATGAGGATAGTCTTAGAACCATTTTTAATTCAGAAGTTTAATCAGCATAGAAAAAATCCAGTGAATTTCATTTAGACAGACTTCTGTATTTGAAATACTTATACTTTAATATTTACACAGGAATGCTAGTATGTTATTTTAATTATACTGTTATTAATAAAACATCTCAGGCAACTTTTACACTAGACACTAAAATATTTGATCTCCTTTCACCCATTTTTACTAAACATACACTTTTCTACACCAGTTTCTATATTTCAGAGAAATATCTGCTAACTTTGGTTCCAACTCATATCTATCGGAGACCTAATTCTAATCTCCCTTACAGTGGCTTTACCCAATCTTGTAGAGTTACTGCTACCACTGCAGTAAATAAAATGCAAGTTAGGCCTCAGACCTATCCACAAATGTTGATCCAGATTTCAAAACAGACTTACACATGTGTTTCAGGGCTCAGTCCAATGTCATTACTCAGATGCTTGAAGTTCAGTACTTCAGCAAGTTTTCACAAGATCAAGGCCAATGTTAGCGGTCTTCCTGCAATTTTCTTATGCGTTTTGCTATTTGCAAAAGCTCTTAAGTTCTGTTTCTCATTATTTAATTATTCGGTGGTATACCTTTGAGAAGACACCTCTAAAGAAAATGAAGCACCACTTGATCCTTCCATACTCAGTTTTATTAGAGTGGGTTAGTATGTCTATTTAACCTACAGACCTTATGTAACCCTGAATTTCTACATATACTTTTTATGAAAGATGCTAAGTAAAAGGTGGCATTTCACCAGAAGGGTGACAATCACCAGTTACCAAATGCCTGAGGTGGCCTTCCTTCCATAATAAAGTAGTTTATATTGCTGAGGATTGGGCCCACTGCATCCTCTCAACGATGGAATGGGGACAGGGTCATTTACTTACCCGTAAATGTTCAGTATAAGTAAAAAGAGCATGACAAATCCTGCTCTCTTCCTCCTTATCTTCCAGTTGTAATACTCTGCACTTCTTCTGCACGGCGACAATCCATTGTTCGTATGTTTGTGTTCCAAAATCTTTAGTCTTAATAGGGGACAGAGTATCTTGAATAGAAACAGGAAACAATACACTTAGTTTTCAGGGAACAGCTAAGAACAGCAACACAGTGATGTGGAATGTGATGTAGGCAGACTGGGCAATCTGAAATTAAGGCAGATAGTTTCACCAAGTACCACGTACAAATGACTTTACAAATTAAGATGACAGAAAATAGTTCTCTCTCCATAAGTGATCTATTTTATGTAAGAAATATTAGGATAGTAAAAGGGAGGAAGGAGTAGATCAAGAAGGGGAGAAAAGGAAGATGAGAGAATAAACTCTACGGCAATACGAGAAGTTTGTTATTGATACTGTTTAAGAATGAATGGCCAATTCTCTTTATTGTCTTAATTCCATGTGATCTTACCTATTGGGTACATCTGTTTTGCCAGTGCCTCAGTCTTAGATATCATATTTGAAATAATGTCCACAAAACGGTTTTGGGGGCGCAACATAACTTGCCTGACAACTAGAAGAGAAGGAAATGAACAGTCGTTAGCAAAAGTAGTTGTATACTTAACACATTTCCAGAGCTGTTAACAAATACCATGACAAACTGCGATAAGGATGGCGGACAGAGGAAAACGGGGGCAGGGAGTAGTTTTTCCAAAAAGAATGTCAGTGAAGCTACAGGTCTGTGTGGTCATAATTACCTTTATTATTATTGAGATGCTGATCGATACTGCACTATGACTGTATCTATAAGAACCAAAGCCAGGTAATAGCAGAAACATTGAGCACTTCAGCTCTAAGAAGTTGCTATTAACATATCTAGTTATTTTTTTCAGTCCATTCTTCTGCTCTAATTCTACTTCTATGACTCACTCAAGGCTCAGTTACAGGAGTCATATAGGTAGGTTTATCACATCAGATTTCCCCCAATCATGCATTAATTGGAGGCAATGTGGAGCTGCCCTAGAGGGAGCAGGATGACATATTGTGTCATGGCATGGCTCATTACTAGAGCTGTGCAAAGCTTCAGTAGCTGATTTGATTCGGAGGAGATTCAGCCCGATTCAGGGACTGAATCTCTGAAACCAAATCAAATTGGGAGACCAATTAAAAGCTCTGAATCAATTTGAAGTATCTGAATAGATTTGGAAAAGCTTCAGAAAAGATTCAGCCGCTTTGGAGATTCGGCCATAGAGTAAACAGACTGCCTCCACCTGGTAAGTCTGTTGGGGTTGGCTGACGGAAGAGGCGTGGGGGAGGGAGGGATTGGTGCTGGGGTTGGGACTGGGACAAGCTGCCCAGCC